CGTCCCCACTCCGCTTGAACTCCCGCTCCTTCCCAGGCCCCCGCCCTTGGCCCCCCGGGACGGACACGCCCTGAGCGAGGGATGCTACGCTGGAGCCGCCGGCCTCTTAAAGGAGCCTGCAGCTGCCATCCGGCGCACTCCAGGCTTGTCCCTGGCCCGTCTGGGCCCCTCACCTTCCTGCTGGCAGTCCCATCACGGGCCTTATGCTGATTCCGTAGGAGCCCCCTAAGACCGGTCTTATAAACTCCCCCCTATATCCCGAGGCAGTAGCCCCTCATATGGGAAACCATCCCACTTCACCCTACCCCCCGCGCGCTAGCGTTGTTCCCTCTGTCATACCAATTTTGCCAGCTTTCCTTCCCCTAATTGTCACCACTCCAGTTCCACCCAATGGGAACCCACTCAGCTCAATGCCCTCCCCCTTCCATGTTCCTGGATGACCCCTCATTATTTCAAGATTCCTCTGGACCTCCACCGCAGGCTCAGAGCAAGTCATATCTCTTCCCTGACCCACTCTCAGAACACTCGTTAGAATCAGATATTTTTCGTGATCTCTTTCTCTGCAAGGTCACAAGATTTTCCCTCATCGTCGTGAGACTTTGGGGAGGAGGCAATGGAGCTCTGAAAGCCAGATCCATCGATTATCTATCGTAAGAAGCCAAAATCTTCCCTTTGCTCTCAACTAAGTGGCCCAAGGCCCACGGCAGAGGGAATGAGACCACCACGTGCCTTAGTCCTTCCAATCCTGTTGTCCCTTGATTCTCAGGCTCCAGAGGGGTCTCCTGGCCAGCTACAGAAAGGTTCACTAGGGTCATTCTAAAAGCTTTTAAAAAAGAAGCGGAGACCCGACAGGCTTCAGGGCAGAATTAAATGGGAAGAGAGGTGAAGGACAACCTAAGAAAAATAAGCAAGTTCTTTGAGACGAAGGCCCGAACCTAGGGGCTTAGGCTGAGTGCTGAAGGTGAACTGTCTGTGATGGACTTGGACGTGAAACTGCCCCAGTGCTCAGAGCAGCAGAAAACAGTCCACTCCCGCGTCCAGGTAAGGCCTACCCTCGCAGGCTGCAGGGAGTCAGGATCCCACAGCAATCTCACCATTAGGCCAATCACAACCTTTTCTCAAGAAAGAGGCGGGGTCAAAGGGGCTGACTCTTTCCTTGCCCCTGCCCCTCTACGTGAAGCAACCAATCGTAACCCACCTAGAGCAAGTAAGCGCAATCGGCCATAACCAATTACGCCAGTAAGCTTCCTGTGCGTGTTTGATCCTGCCTCTCCAGCTGCGACAAATATGACACTCGAGCTTCTGGGTTCTGTAGTTCTCTCAGTATTCGAAGCCCTCCACCCCCCACCCCACCGCTCGAGTTAGCCCTTACCA